TACAATACAAGGGTGAGAAGATTCAAAGGGATTCCCCTGCAATAACTGCTTGGACTGAAGAAGCAGTTAAGCAAAGAATCAAGGCAGAGGTATTGTCTAGAAGATTTGGACGGGGAAAGGTACTTGACAGAGCTCAACATCAAGAACATGCGACCAGGGAAGATAACATACCTGAAAAGAGCGGTGCTCAAGTGGAAGGCAGCCAATCAAATGAGTCCCTAGGGAGGATTACATCTGTACTGAATAGGATGGCTGACACAGTTGTTGAGTTTGCTGGTGTGATGGTTGCTATAGGAAACACAAGAACTGGTGGAGAAATAATTAAGATCACTTTTGGGAACATTGCTGACATGATTACTTCAGTCTCTTCTTCACAACCAGAACGAGATGAGACTTTATTGTATGATGATGAGCTTTACAATCATCCAAGTTTCCTTGAAGCAGTCAATGCGCTTGAACAGGCATTCTACCAAACCACCAAAGACTACCCGACTCAAGCTCCTGCTAAATCACAAACGCCACATCCGATTCAAACACCAAGTTTTGATCTTGGAATTAGCCCTATAAACTCATCACAACCTCAACATATCCCTGAAGAAATGAATGATACGCAAGCACAAGATGATACTGAAGACCAAAACAATACAAGTGATATTCAAGAGGAAATTGACAGTTCAGACTCTGGTGAACCACAACTGGAAACCCCACCACCTGGAACTGAAAACAATCTGTTTGATAGGTATGCTCCAACCTATTATATCTACACTGCTTCCACTCATTTTCAATTGAAATGCAACCTATTATAAATGAAACTGTATTATTCATAAAGTGACACCATATTGTATATATATATATATATATATATATATATATATATATATATATATATATATATATATATATATATATATATATATATATTAGGAACTGAAACCGAAGTTACAATTAACTGATACTGTAGGTGTACATAACTGATACTGTAGGTGTACATAACTGAAACTGTATATATATATATAACTGAAACTGACTTGTTTATCAAGTGATACTGCATTATATGCACTGTATCTCTATATGCTGATGCATGCATGATCCTCCATGAAACTGCAGTTTGATTTCTGAGCCTGACATTGATGACAACAATGAAAATGTTATAATTGATAAGACAAAGAGGATCAGGAACCTGCCGTTGCGCCTAAGGTCCCCATACTGGACAACAAATGTTGAAAAGCTGAAGAATGTCGGTCCAAAGGAAAAGTTGATTTCAGACTATGCTTTCCTTGACCCAACAGAAGAACAACCATTAATGTATAAAGCACACTTAACACCCACTCTCTAATATACAATTTTGAATGCTACCTACTTTATTTATATACATTTTCAAATATGACAGTGAACAACTATTTGGCCATGAGGGGTACTACATCAATAGAGAGCAATTCCAGACCTTAAGAAGTGCTGAGCTTGAGAGTATATTCTTAGATGTTTGGTGTCTAAGACTGAATATGTTGGAACCAAGCCGTGGGATTGATAAGCCAAAGAGGATATACTTCACAACACAATCTTTTGTAAGCAAACACCATTACTATTTTTCACGTTATGCATGTTTACTTATGAATAACATCCTTTAATGTACAATGTATACTCTACAGCTCCAACTTGACACTCCACCAGATTGGGCACCACACCACCAGTCACATAGACAAGAAGACTTTGAGCAGTGTCTAACCACCGAGATACAGAACATGGGGAATGTCGATATTAGTGATGCAAAATTGGTAATCATTTCTTTTTCAAAATATTATATTTACAGTTAAACATACTACTACTGTTTTCTAATTTTTTTCTTTAAAAAAAACATTAAAAAATCAAAACATGTGTTCTTTCCCATTTACCGGCATCATCACTTCTTTGTCTTGTGCTTAAATTTCATTACATCAAAGCTTGAAATCATTGACAACCTGCCACTCCTCAAAGGGCTGAAAATTCAAAGCAAGTATGGTGACTGTCCACAGCTGCTTGTAAGTCATCTAGTTACTTACTTCAATACTCAAAACCAATTCACCTATAATTCATATCTAATTACTTCTGACATGCAGCAAAATGCATTTGCATTATTCCTTGGAAAGAATGGAATGAAAGATATGCAGGCAAATGTGAAAAAACTAACTGTTGACCTAGTTAAAATGAGTTGGAGATCATCAGCTAACAAGATTGACTGTGGTTTGTACGCAATGAGACATATGGAAACCTACATGGGGGATCAGAACTGGAAATGTGGGTTTGTTCCAAAGAAACAGGATCAAAATGTATGTACATATAATACTTTACATATTTATACTACTCAAATTCTCTGACACAAAACATAGTTAACTGATGTGTACCAACAAAATGCAGGATCTCTACTTGATGTCTCTACGAGCAACATATGCAGCCAGAATTATCATGATGCCAACCAATCAGTACAGAGCAAAAGTCCTGAAGAACGCCAAGACAGCGTTTGAAAGCAACAAATAGATCACTATGATAAACGGAACAGCTACGAAAATGTGAATGTTTGTTTTTGATATGACAAGAACATAAGTCGCCTAAATGGTGTCAATATTTTTGGGTACCAAATGACATATACCATTGATATTTTGGGTAGATTATCATCTTGTTTACAATTTTTGTTGACTGAAAGACGATGTTGTTTGGTTGTAAAGTTTTCTCACTGAACACACTGATGGTTCTTAACTTCAAGCTTTTTGGTTAATCAAGTATAATGATGCAATTCCATATAAATGTTTTTAGTTTCAGTTTATTACACGTACACTTTAAGTTCGTATCTTATACATTATCAGTTCATTACACTTATAGTTTCATTTACTAACATACGAAAATATTAAAGATATTATATTCAGTTTCATTTTCCATAAACTAAAGTATCATTTAGTATACACTACAGTATCAGTTCATTATATTTATAGTTACATTATAATATATATGAAAATGTGAGAGACATACTGTTTAGTTTCATTCTCCATACACTGTGGTATCATTCTATATACACTACAGTATCATTTAAAAATATCTATGACTTCATTTAAAAACATAAAAAAATAATATGTCAAACATGCAGCAGACTTTCATACTGCAAAAAACTATGCTACCATGACAACACACATACTATCTAATATCCAAACCGATCCAATCCAAAATTACAATGATTGTAATTGACCTATCAACTAGATTTAACCAAACCTAACTCGTGACTGCCGCTAGAGGGATGAACAAAATAACCACTGCCAACAATATTAGCAACAACTCCTTCAACAGATGCCTGCACTGCAGCCTTTGTACTCATTTCAGCAATCTTGACACCCAACTTCCGCCCTCTCACTTGGTTATACTTCTTTTCAATGGTGCTAATATGCCTCCTATTGCGTTCACCTTTCGCCCTATTACGTGCTGGATTTTGAATTACACCAGCTATCTGTTCTTCACCATCTTCAATGACAATAGGACCAATATCACCTTCAACCTTCCTCCTAGCATCCTCAAAAGCATTTTCACACACTTCCCGAGCCTGGCAATTTGCTTGGCTGGATAAAACTAACTGCTGAAACTTCCTACCCATTTGAATAACCCAAACAGATGACGCAGTGCTAAGAATATTCAAGGAACTATCACTGCTTATTATTCTATCTTCAATACCCTTTTTGGTCCATCTTTTGATAATGTACTTATCTGGTATTGCTGCAACACAGTGGACATTCAAAATGCGTAAAGAACGTGAGCATAAAATACCCATCTCTGAAAACAACATACAGCTACAAGATATATCCAAAACATTCACTTTGAAACACACTTCATGACGAATGAGATCAACGTCAGGACGCCACACATGATACTTTATCTCATTACCACTTCCCCCAACAGATTCTTGATGGCATGAAGTCCCTTTCAAAAACTGTTCCTCAAAAAGATAATATATCTCAATAGTGTATATGTCCCTAGCATGTGAAAGGAGCTTCACATGATTCATCACCATAGGTGCCAACCCTTGTGAACAACGCACATTTTCACCGGTTTCCCTACTTCTCCACTCAGAAACTACACTAACAAATGAATTATAAAAATCACACAACCCAGCTGTTTTTGATAATCTTCTAGATATTGAATGATTCGTAGACTCGCTCCTTTGAGATGATAAAATACCACCAGAGAAATATTCTTTACTAAATGCAGGACATCATTTCTCCCTAATAGAATATAGCTTATTTAACCAAACATTTTTATGGCACCCATATTCTGTCATCATCCTGGAAAAAAAAATATAAAGAAACAAAAAGAACATGAATTTAAACCTATACTGTATATTTCTAAGTTGATGATCATATTTCTAAGTAGAGGGGGTATAGGGAATGCCGAATAAATCCAGCTGAGCTCTACAAACAAATACAATCATCAACTGTTAACACAGTATCATTTTATCAAATAAGCAGTATCATTTCATACAACCTATAATATCATTTAATAGCTAAGGTACTATCAATCAACATACAGAACACAAATTCACCAGAATATAAAACACTACATAATATCATTGTGAAAAAATCAGTAAAAATACCTGGTCCAATAAAACTCAAATTCAACTTCGGTGTCAGTGTACTTCAAAAGAAAATTGAAAAGCTCTAAGAAACCTTTTTTATTTCTCAGACTTTTTATGTGCTTCTTCGAATTCTCCCCAATGTGCCATATACAAAGCCTATGATTTGAATTCGAAAATACTTGTGCGATTCCAGCAGCCATGGCAGCACACTGATCAGTCATTATTGTTTGAGGATGCTTACCCCCATTGATCGTACAAATACTTTGAACAACCAAACAAACGACTCTATCCTCTCATTGAGTAAAAACCCACAACCAAACATCACATTCATGCAATGATGATTCATTCCTACAAAAGGGGCACATATCATATCATATCTATTTGTACGGTATGTTGTATCGTGTACAACTAAATCACCAAACAAATCATAATCAGCCTTCATTTGACCATCCCTCCAGAAAAAGTTACACAACCTTGCATCCTCATCAAGTTCAAATTCAAAATAGAAATCAGATTCATCCATTTGTCTCCTTCTAAATATCTCAATCAAGCTATTAGAATCAGTGCCATCTAGATGCTTTGACGAATCTGAATATATCATGTTATACGCATCCCTAGGAGTAAATCCAACAAACGGTAACCCTCCTGACTGACATTTTAAGAAGCGAATAGCATCCGATAAGGGGACCCCACTCCTCTTCATGTTTTTTAAACATGTCAGCTGATTCTCAGACACTTTCCTATGCGATCTAAGCATATAACTTGATGAAGCCGGACACAGTTCATGGTTATGCTCCTTCACATGTTTAGTAACAACCCATTTCCCATTTGAATCTATATCAAATTGACACATTGCATTACATCCAGACCTAGTAACTATCTTTGAGTAACACTTATTAGGATTGTCTGGTATTATTCTAAAACCAGACTTAGAACAACAAAACACTTTCGTCTTCAAAATCCGAGTGCCAGTAACATAATACTGTTTGCCCTTTCTAGTACTAAATCCCATACGAAACGCATAATCATTGTATTTACCAAATGCATCTTCTATTGATCCAACAGACAGTCCCAACAATTCTTCATTATCTGTGATTTTATTAAAACATCCCTTTAACACAACAAATTCAAAATCAGTTAAGAATCGAACTAAACATTTAACCTGGAATAGCTGACTCTTCAACAATAACATGTTCAGATGTACCATCAACAGCAATCGAATTGTCAAAATCATCTGCAACCAAATAAAATATAAACTGACACTTCAGGTCACTAAAACCGACACTATATTGTTCAATAACCGAAACTACAGCGATATCAGCATGAAACTGCGTAACATGGTCCTGAATAATATAAAACTCAAATAAGAACATGAACAAGAACATTAATGCATTTAATACCTGGAATATACTCATTATCGTCGACAAAATTTGTACACGGAACATCAAACGCAATCGGCGAAATACATTCACCGGCGACCGGAATATGATCTTTACCTGCAACAAAAAAAAAAACCATAACATATCGGCAAATTATACTCAAACAATAACAACATCACACAAGACTGTAATACATAGTATAATGATATACACCTGCAAATACTGAACTGTTCTCATCAACGATCATTGAATTCGAATCAATCTCCTCAATCCTGTTTGTAACTACTATTTTATTCATATTTCCGATCATAGAAAACAATACAACAATTCGACTTATACCAAAACTATATCAATTCGACGAATCGAATCAGGAACAGATCGAAGAATCATAAGAAAAAGAAAGGAAAAAGGAAAGAACGACAAATCTAATAAAAGGAAAGAAATACGACTTCAAAATAGGAAAATAACGACGACTGATAGAAATTAGCCGTCCGGAAACAATTAACGGCGACGTCTGAACCGCGCCCTAATTAATGGTAAACGGCGTCGTTTCATACCCTCGGTGCATAATGGATTATGCACCGCGGTGCATAATATAATTTGCCGAGATCATATGTTTCTAAGCAAATGCAATTAACTATTCAATTTGGGATTAACAGTAATTCAATCACAAAACATACTCTTTCAATGACTATCAAAAAAAAAAAAAAAAAGCAAATTAGCAATGATTGAGAATAAAAAGAACAAATGTTTGCCGTATGAGAATCGCTGCTGCCCAGAAATGTCTCGATGTCGCCACCGACCGTAGTCTGCTGAACGGAACTGCCACATACAATAACTCGCCGACCGAAATTCCTACCGCCAACGGAGAGTCTCTGTTCACCGCCACCGAAATTGGTCCGGGACGAACTTAAAATTTTTACCCGACAATTTTCATTTATATGTATTTGGTTCAAATAAAATTATCTATATTTACTTGGAACTAGTTGAATATCTTGCATTGTTCAATAAAATGTCTAATAAAAATAATAAAGCTATAAGGAAACAAGAATAATAAAAATAATCAACACAAAAAGTATGACTAACCTAGGGGAGGATTAGAAATTTACAGCACGTTTGTTTCACGGAATGAATTTGGAGGGAATAAGAATGCTATTCCACAGGGAATAGAATATGTAAGGAATAGAATAGGAATTGTATTCTGTTGTTTAGTTGGCTAAAAGAATAGACTTTAGTAATTGCATTCTAGTGTTTGGTTCGTTAAAGGAATAGAAATGGAATAAGTTTTAAAAACATAAATACCCTTATACAAATTAAAATAATAATAATAATAATAATGAATATGAATATAATATACTGAATATATATATATATATATATATATATATATATATATATATATATATATATATATATATATATAATTACGCAACTTAAGAAGGAAACTCACACACCTTAAGTTTCAACAGCTACTTACAGTAAGCACAAAACTCACGTCACTTAAGCACAAAACTCACGTCACTTAAGCACAAAACCCACGCACCTTAAGCACAAAACCACGCACCTTAAGTTTCAACAACTACTCACATTAAGTACACAACCATGCACCTTAAACACAAAACTCACGCACCTTAAGCACAAAAACCCCACACCTTAAATTTGACCTAGATGCAAAAATTAACGAATTATCACGGCGTTTTTTTTTTTATTATTTAAATTTTGATAATCCTGGACGTTGATTTAATCAAAATCAATGGATCTCCTCCCACCGTACAACCACACCGGCCTAGACACACCAACCGTATTTGAACCTAATTATATATATATATATATATATATATATATATATATATATATATATATATATATATATATATATATATATATATATATATATATGAGTATTAATTACTCGAAAAATTCAGATAAGATACACGGTTGTACCGAGCTTCATTACAATACAGGCATACAGTAACTCCTTCGGGCTAAGTCGACAAAGCATTATCTCCACCTCGGGCTACCATGGAGCCTCATGTACCTGAAGAGTGCTTAACGACGGTTAAACCGCCTCCCACATACGCCACAGATATGATTCTGGTATGGCAGGCATGGAAGGAGGTAGCGGTGCATTTTTACATCTTATATTGCTCCAAATAAAAAGAGCAAAGGTTAAAATGAGGTAGCAGTGAAAAAAAACGAAGAACGGCGTGGAATAAATATATTGCCCTCCTAAGTCCTATCCGCCTGCCCTAGGGAAATTGACTGTTATAGGACAGTCATCTATCTAGACAAAAATAGGAGGCTGAAAAATTATGAACGGTAAAGGAAAATCCGACTTTGGGAAACTGTAACATCATATGCATTTCTAATACACCAAACGCATTTTCTAAATGCGTTTTTCCTATGTTGATGCGTGGGCATAATCCGCATTTGGGGAATGCGTTTCTCTTATAATACGAGAAACGCATCTCTCAAATGGGGATCTGCTCGTGGCAGTCCACATACTAGGAACTTCATCGTACTTCAACAACGGCATACTCCGCAACTGAACATCAATTTCAGGCTCTGATTCCGAAGGAAATGGAACCAATTTATGGTAGTAAAGGTGACGAGGAGGCCCTTGCTAGCCAGCCGTTTTCCCAGCCTAAGCAATGGGTTTACGTGGCCTTGGCAGGGAAATGATACCAGTAAGATATGAAAGCGGGGTTGATCGGCGATGCCCTGAGCGCCCAATGTTGTTGTTGAATCTGGACTTGGCGAGCAATCCGCATTTGGGAGATGCGTTTTCTCGTATTATAAGAGAAAAGCATCTCCAAAATGCGGATTACACCCACGTATCAACATACGAAAAGCGCATTTGGAAAATGTGTTTGGTGTATTTTATACATCAGACGCATTCTCCAAATGCGTATGATGTTGACAATTTCAAGAAAAATAAATATTACAATCGAGTTTGGAAAATGCATTTTTCTGCCCAACAACATTTCTCAAATTTGGATTCCCTTGACCGTCAATAATTTTTCAGCCTCCTATTTTTGTCAAATAGATAGCGGACGGTCCTATAACAGTCAATTTCCCCCTGCCCTACCACTGCACACCATTCGAGGAGTAGAATATCTCAATTTATGCATCTTACTCGGAGTTCTGTTGATTTGGCATATGATTTGAGGGTCGTCTTTGACCAACTCCTATGGGCACTCAATAAATTAAAGAAATCATCATGACATGCCGGCCTTGCCAAGTTGCCATCTCTAACAAAAAAAATACTAGAAAATAAGAGAACCACTGACCACGGAAAAATAATGCATGTATATTGTGAAAAAAAATAGAACTTATGCTACCTAGGACATCTTTATCATTCTTGTCTTGAATCATTCACGAAAACAACATAGTTGGCTTAAATATATTATAGGCTAGCAAAGTACAAATCTTTCCATCCTTTCATATTAATTTCCCACCACCATTCATTGATCATCACTGGTAATTAATACAACATACACTTGCTTTCTTAATTTGAAGCAATTCAAGATTTCTAGGAACATTGATGAGGCACTATCTTAGACGTGCATGGAGAGGAGTCTTCTCTAATATAATCACGTTTTCAATAACAGATGTGCTACCACTACTTGGAAGAAGGCCAGCGTGATCAAACTTGTTTTTGACCGGATTTTCCTATACTCGGAATTGTTTCGTCCACGAGACCGAACTTGTTTTTGACCTCCAAATATTATTGTCGTGTGCAGTGGTAGGGCATGAAGAGGGCAGGTGGAGGGCAATATATTAAATCCCCGCCACCATTTACTACTACCTCACTTCAACCTTAGCTTTCTTAATTTGAAGCAATTCATGATGTCGACCAGCAATATAATATAATGTTGATAATGGCTCTTCTTCCTTGAATTTTCCTCACTGCGGCGGTGGCCCCGTGGAGCGGTTCTAAGACCGAGGATGTCACCGGCAGTTAGTTTTTTGAGGTTGGTTTTCGATGCTTTAGCTAATGCTAAACTCATTTTGTAAAGAAATCACCGATCATGTTTTGAAA